ACACACACACACACACACACACACACACACACACACACACACACACAAAGTGAGAAACCCGGCGTTGTGTTGTTGTTTCACAGATTTGTTAACTAAAGACTCACCTTCTCTTTGACATCCATCACATAAACTCCCTCCAGGCAGATCCCGACACTGACAGCTTTGCGTTTGGCCCTTTGGAGAATCCCTTGCACTGGTTTGTCGATCTCCCCAAAGAAGAAAGCGCACCTGTGTGCGTAGTTAATGCCAATTAAAACCGAATAAATAGGAAGTGATTTGAGGGAAACCAAATGAGAGTATAAATGGCTCATTGCACAAATTCTTACCCGTAGTAAGGCAGAGAGTGACATGTGTTGAGGTACTGGTGCAGGAGCTGCGTGGGCTCAGGAGAGTTCCCAGCGGGTGTGCTGATCTTTCGGTACTCCGCCATTAGGTTCTGCTCAAGGCCCGTCTGACGGCTCAACTTCCCTCTCAGAGTGGAGAGCAAACCTCCACTCCCCATGGCAACATGAGCAGGCAGAAGAGAAGACAGCTTCTTCTTTCTGTGGAAAGTAGATGAGAGAGAGTTTGTAATATGCATTGAGTGCATCTTAAATGTGCAAATCTAAAAGATTATGGTAAATCCACAATTCATTGTTTAACGTGTACCGTTTGATCCGTCTTTACGATTAACAGGATGCTGGAACATCCGATTGAGTCAGTGCAGCACTTTCCTTCGCTGCCCTACTGTGGCGTTACACATTTCTCCTTCAATCATCGATTTCCTTCACTCCTGCAGTTGCTATACAACTCGGTCCCCTCTTCAATCACTCAATTGACATTTTTTGTTCTTTCATGCCACCCATCCAAAGATCCTTTGTCATACGTTTCATGCCGGCCACAAAATCAAACGTGTTGGTCTCACAATAAAGTTCTTTACAGTACGAGTGTTGCTGGAATGTTGACCTCGTCCTCTCAAGTACTACCACTTAACGTATCAACATGAAAACTCTCCTTAAGCGGGACAGCTTGTTCTTTGGCGTCATAAAAGACGTCAACTGCTGATTACCTAGAGATTGTCTGAAAAAAACAGAACAACTCTTGATCTAAAATATAATTGCAACTAGTGATTATGATACAAAGAATGAGCAGTATACGTCAAGATCATCAAGCTGATAGTTGTGTATTTTCTTCTCAACAATAGTCCAATCACATCATAATTTGAGGATTTGATTAGACTGTATTGTTAATCATCATGTAATTTATGTGTAGAAGATGATTGCAGAGTCAACGGTGAACTCCACGAAAAATGTCCATTTAAGCAGAACTCTGAGTAGGATCATGTGTTGAAAAAAATGCTGTGTGTTTTAATTATCTTACTAGAAAATGGCCCAAATCTGGCTCACTTTCATGTGGTTACATGTTACACAACTCATGTCTGTCTGTGAAATAGGAAGCAGGAGCCAGGAGACGGTGAGTTTAGCTTAGCTTAGCATAAAGACTGAAAGCGGAGGGAAACAGCTAGACTTACCCGGGATCGGACAAAAAGATATTACAGGTAAAAAAAAAGAAAAAGAAAAAAGGTTAATGTACTTCTTGGTCAGTCCATGGAAACAACCACAACAATGGTGCACACACACCCATGGGAGGGGTTCATAGAATGCTATTTTGAGATCTCAAATATATATATTTTTTAAAAGGCATTAAAAAGAGGTAAAGCTTTTCATTTTGCTGAGCTGTTGTTATCACGTTTGACTGATTAGCACAGCTGTTTCAGAGCTATGAGACCAGTGATGTGACTGGCTGAGAGAATATTTAATAATTCTCACACCCGCTGATCTATATTCACCTTGATCCAGCATGTCACGCTGCTGCACATGGGCTACATGGACCAAAGAATGTGCGCCTGGAGAGACTCCCACACAGTCCTACCAAACTTGCACTTGACATCATTATTCAAATTTCAACTGAAGATGCAAAATATTAAACCGAGGGTGCATTGCATGCATTTTGAGAAAACAAGACAGCTTCAGCAGCCAGGATCTGAAACATTTTGCGAGATGTCGCAAAAGGTACATTTTTCCCCCCCTACTCGGGCTCTGTATAGACTGTTTTTTGTCTTTTTACCTTTTTGTCAGAGCCAAACAAACATTGAGTGGAATCTATCCGTTTCATTTAAGCAAATAAGCATAGTTCCCACAGTGTCCAACTACTCCTTTAAGAGAAAGGTCAACAACATCTAGAAAACTCCAAAATACAAAAGCATTTCAAAACCCACATCCAGACTTTGTTTTTTTTTCCAGCAACCTTTCTAACTTACCTTATAGTAGTGCTAAACTGTTGCCCGTCAAGACCAGTTCCCTCATCGAGAGCGAGAGACAAGGCTCCGAGACCCGCCCAGTGCTCGGGGTCGCAGGGGTATCGGCCTGTGAGAATGTTGCCCCTGGCCTCCTCGTACAGAAGCCTCAGCACTCCCTCGTCATCGATCTGCTCAGGAGTGGCAGGACGACAACGGCTATCCATCAGTCATCGGGAAAACTAACGAGAACTACAACTTCCAGACATTAACCTAAAATCTATATTAAAGCCCACTCAGCCCTTTTGGGAGTCAACAGGTTTACTAAACTTACCAGTGATCGATTACAATGTCTTAGTAATTCACTCATATGTAAGATTATTGAATGTTCTTCCACAGAATTAGGGTTAATAGTACCTGCAGCTCTTTAGATTTAGGATAGAAGACGTTCCGGCGGTACTGGAGACATGGTTCATCTGAGTAAAGAGCAGAGGACAACGATGGATTAGGGTCCAGGTGACCATCTGCATCTTATTTAAGTTTGTTCGTCACTGTGTGATATTGAGCCGCACGCCCAGAGTGGACGAGTGAGGGTATAGTGTCAAACACTGGTGGAAACCTACTCCAACCCCCCCCGTCTCATAGTCCTGTACGGTGGGTGAAAGACCCATCTACTCCACAAAAATATAGAACAGCATTGGTGTGATTATGCAATACATTTATGATACATTTGTTGTTGTTTTTTTTTAGTGGTAAGCTGCCACTGTTGCATTTTATTTCTTTGCAATGAACTTTGCAGCAGTGTCACCAGTTGTTTGTTCAGTTCCACCACCAACTCAAATCAAAAGACCTTCAATTTCACACGACATAAGACTTTAGAGAAACTTGATCTTGGGTCATTTTTGCTTAAAAAAAAAAAAAAAAAAAAAATCAATTTATGGACAAACTGTTTCAGCTCTGCTTAAATGAGCTAACGTTAACATTTAAGAAAAAACAACTGACGGTCTGGTGACAATAATAATGTTACATGGCCACTTCTGTATGAGAGGATGGTAATTTATTTTAAAAACATACAACTTAACCATTGTACATGAAAAAACATTTAACGCTCAGATTTCCCCGTTTGTCAGCATATCGTGTATATTTATTTGAATAGGAAATATTCACTAAAACGCAGCAAGTGTAATTTCGTCTCTTTCTCCGAGTGGTTTCTCTTCATGTTTTTTGACTTCCTACATTTTAGGGTTTTATTCTGCTTGTTCAACCACAGCAATTTTTTGCTTGCCAACTTCTTCTCTTTTCTTTTATTTCAAGCAAACCTGACAGAAAATGTACCCTAGGCGAGCTACTAAGCAACAACAATTTAGAAGTAAGCTACAAATCCACAGGGAACAGCTGCAGAGAAAGAAACTGGCTGTGCTTTGGCATGACTGCGTTTTGAAACCAGGTTACTGAGAGAAACAAGCCGAGTGCAGGGAGTGTACTGTACTGGCGATGGTGAAACTGACAATTCCATGCAGTTAGTAAGAAATCACATTCCTCCCCTATACACATATTGTAAGTGGTTACAGTTTTATTCTGGTGCAGACTTTAGAGGATGTGACCTTTTAGAGTTTTAAATTAATAAGGCAAAGTGAGGGGACAGCCTCTGTAGTCACTGAGCCTTACTTTATCTTTTGGTCAACAATTTTTACAAATAATCTGCTGTTCAGTGGTGGAAACCAACACACAGGAAAGAAACTTCTTCATTTCAATTTCATTTCTCCAGCAGAAATCTGACTCCTTACCTTACCCAGCTTCTTGTTCAGCGGACTTCGAATAAAATGTGAAGACAGCGGGACACAGACCAACCTCTCACCTTGTGAGATGTCTTCCTCCGAGGCCTCAGTGAAGCGATACAGCAAGTCCTGCCACTGCCGACACAGTTTGTATGGTTGATGCCTTGCCTTTAACTGCAATTCTGGGGAGCAAGGAGGAGGCGAGTGTAACACAGTGAGACGTGTCCGATATCCTGCTCTGGTTCTTGTGCCGCTTGCTATTGTGACTCTGGAGCTGCTAACATCGACGTATCATTTAAAGAGAAAATATGCATGTGTGTAATATGATACATTTTGTATCCAGACTATGACATATTTTTAAAACACAGAAGCACACAAAAATTGTTACCGAGCAGTGGAGAACAAAGCCAGAAGGCGAAAGCATCCTGTGCAGACTCAGGAATATGGAGAGCCTCGCGAACACTGCGGCCCAACTCCTGCACAGACACGCTGCAGAGTCCTTCTACTGTTAAGTGTACTGCGCTGTCACCACAGATGTATACAAGCACATCTTGAGCTGTGTGGAAAAACACAAATAAACAAAAAAAATTTAAAAAATGACAAAGACAAGTAAGCCAAAGAGAAACAACACCACATGCATGTTAGGAAACACTGAGGAGTGATTTTATCCTCCACGAGGTACAATAATATTTGCTGCACCGTACCACGGGACAGTGTTGCGGAAGAAGCAACACTTCCTCTTTGCGAGTGATCATCCGATGAATCTGGAGGAAAATTGCAGTCGTCTCCATCCATCTCTACTCTGAAACACAATGACCGAACTCAGTCACAATATGTACCCAGTAACATGACATTCATAACAATGAAACTCCACACCCATGGTAGTTTTCAGGTGTGCAGATGTCACTTAAAGTATGAGGTCATACTCCTTTCATCCACATGTGTGATGGGACAAGTGTTGCATTTTGTTAACAGAAAACTTCCTGATTTCTTAAAATCAAAGTTGTATATGTACAGCTGGCTAACCAGAGTGGCCAGTAAAAGTTATATGTGGCACACATACTGGCATTAGTCTCGTATACCTTCAAATAAATACCTAGTATGTGCTTCAGAGGTGACTCCACTAAACAGATACAGTATTAGTGGGTGGATCTTCCTCACTGACATATGCAACCCCATCCAGTCATGGTTTTAATAATCAAGTAATCAAGCTAATTTAGTCAAGGACTCACACTGCACTTGCGCCACCGAGTGGTATTCGACTGGAAAAGACCCAGTACGACCAGAACATCCTATTCTACTGTTCACCTCACCCTCGTGAACTGCACTCATCGTACGGCTCCAGCCTGTCAATGTTATTAAGCACCGTTTATATGGTATTTAATAGGGCTTCGAGCATTGATATACAATGGCCTAAATAAAGAGAGGATGCAAATACAGAGACGAAGCGGCACAATCCCAATTAAGGCCCGCGGAACAAGGGCTAGCGAGCTAACGTTACCCATGTCCTCTCGTTACATGCTCAAATAAACCCAAACAACATCCCATGGATTCAAGCCACTAAATGCATTTATTTAGCTAAAAGGCAAGGAAATCAACCGTGCTAGCTAATATTACCGACGTGTTGAGACTGTCACTAAACATTATTGCGATACTTTTAGATACAGTGCGTTTTAGGAATCGGTTGATAACAATCTTGTCACTTTGGTAGTTAGTTAACTTAGCTCCCTTTAGGGTGTTTTGTCCAAAAGTCTGACATACTGTAGAGCAAGTGAAGGAAAAATATGTCTCTATTGTCCACCTACCTGCAAGTTTCAGTAAATTCCCCTCCTCTTGCTGCTTATGCGCTGGCTAGGACAGCTAACTTTTAAAATGCCGTAGCTAAATACATAAGCAAATCAACGGTTCGCTGTTTACCACTGGCTACGGCTAGTCAGTTGTCTAAAACTAGCTTTCCGGGCAGCTGCAACAGTTGAAGTGTGTTACTGGAGGACGGTTCGCTCATTCTGAACCTCCCTTTTAACGGGCGTGACAGTCACTCTGCAGGATTGGAAACACCGCGTTTACTGAGATATTCATGAATGAAGTAAACATTAAAACAGCCAAGAGCAAATACTTCAAAGTATTGGTCGGGAAGTCATTGCAATTAACACTGACCGAACGACTGTGTACAGTTTGAACAATTGTACACGGGACACGTTCAAAAAGATACGATCCCGTAAATGAGTCGAATAAGGAGTTGACGTAGAGAGCGCGTAGTTGCCCGTCACGCGATCAAAACGTCATCGCGTCTGTAACTACGCAGGCAGCAGTTAATTATATTTACCTGTTCTCTCGGTTCCAGGTTGTTGTTGATATATTGATTCACAAACAACAGTTGTAAGCCAAAGTTAAATCGTGTTTTTATTAGAAACATTTTCAATAAACAGACTCGTCTGCGGAAGTGCTCTCCAGTATACCTTTACTAAACTGTACTGTAATAATGTATGATAGGCCTATTGCTCGAAGTGTGTTGTACCATGTAACATGTTTGTTTTGTCCTGCATGTGGGCAGAAATAGCATCTAGGCTTAACTCTCATGCAATAAATAATATCATCATGCAAAGGTCGTTGTAAGTTACAACCTCAAAAATGACTGAATCACTGAATCAAACTGTACACTGACCTTCACAAAAGTAATATTTATTTCATGGTTCTGACCTACAACAGGTTTGGCATTGCAACATTAGTGTTCTGGTATTATTATGTCAAGCTATTGGCAGGTTTCTAACAAAATATTTATAATAATAATAATGGACATAATGGTCTTCAATCAAGATACAATCAAGATGAACAGATTGGATCTTTTGCAACAACAATACATGGGAAGCCTCTGAGATCTGTATTGGTGATTCGAAACCTAAATATGGTGTAATTGTTTTGAGTCATAGGAGGTCTGCCTATCCCCAGAAAGTCACTAAAGACATATGTTTTTAATAGGACCTTTAATAAAGCAATGTTGATATTAGAAACAGATTTCAGAGATTAACTAATATGTTGTCTCTAGAAACACTGTAGAATATTTCTCTTTTATATCAAATGAGCTGCCATGGGAAATGGGTAAAGAACACAAAGTTGAAATCTTTTTTTTTCAGTATAGTGTAAATGTTTTTTTGTAAGCAAAAAAAGCCTTGGCATAGTTCTCTGCTTCTTAAATCCACCTGACTCAGGTGTCTAATTGCAAGGGCAGCAGGTTGAGTGTTAACAAATGAGATTAAAAGCTTTATTAAAGGTGTCAGAACAGAGGACACACTTGACGGCTTTCACTGCATTACTGACATTGATTATATCAATCTCCATAATCCTATTCCTTTCACTAGAAGGGAGAACTTAGCAACGTGGAGAACCTGTTACAGAAGGTAACATCTGACATTTTAAGTATTTCTACGTCTGCATGCTGTTAGAAAAAAGAAGCAGTAAGTGAATCCACAACATGAGGCATTTAATAACATCAAACTTTAATAAGATGTTATATTATGTCCCATAGTCCTGTGGCGCAGCGGAGCATAGTGCCTCATATCTAGTGGCCTTATCATTAAAACCAAAAAATAAAACTGGGAAATAATTTATTTTAAATGGAGGGTATTGACATATTTTATGATGTTGTACAGTATGTGGTTAGCAGTTCTGCATATGGAATGTGAATGGGAAAGAACAGTAATATATTAAACATTCACTTCACATGTGATGGTGATCAGACAATAAAAAATACTATCAATAAGTCTTTGAAACCTGTAGAAATTTGTGATTAATATTCTGCTTTCAAATTCAAATCATTAATTATCTATGTGTAAAAAATATTTACATGTGTGTACATCATTTGTGCTTTAGGGGGCAGCTGGGTTTCCAGGAGTACCCTCTTCCACCTGGTTTGTGAGCAGGAAGAACTTCATCACAGGTTCGATGTACTCCATGACGGTTTCTTTCACCGATTTCTCCAGCAAGTACCCTTCTGTCTCAATCTCTGTGTTCTCATTCCCCGCCACTGCCTCCATGGAGGTCTGTAGGAACCGCAGGCTCACCAGCACAGAGCCCTGGCAGGGAGGAGGGTGGAGAGATGGGGGGGCAGGTCATACATAGAAGCAGATTCCATTAGACGGCATCATCAAGGATCCACATACACTACCAAACGGAAGCGGTGATGGATGGGTACTGCATAAATTGTGCACATCAGACCCCAAAAATGAACGAGGAATCAATTGGTGTTCATTCTAAATCAAGTCAGAATTCTCGTAAATGAAGCCTAGCCTGCGTATGCTTAGTGTATATACAGAATGGTGGGTTGTTGCTGCACATTTTTTTTCATGTGCTAACGAAGACATCACACAATGTTAGTATGTGGTTTTATAAGAAATTGGCAGCTGTACCAGTCCCCAAAAAGCCAATGTTACCCCTCGACCCATTCCAAATCAAAAGCTGACTTTAGCTCAAACAACTCTGCCTGAAATTGCTGTAAAACCACCGTGATTCTTCTCAAAGTATACCTGTAAGAGGAAGACTGACAGTACTCCAGCCCCAATGGTGTTCATCAGGCCCATGTAGTAGTTGACCAGGGCCTGTCTGCAGCCTCGGAGGTAGATATTGAGCTCCTCGGTTTGGTATTCATAATTATAATGAGCCGAGTTGTTGGTGAGCTGAGACTGGATGCATGGCCGCGGGGAGGTGGGGTTGCAGCAACTGAACGGGACTCCATCTACCAAGTAACGGCCATCCACGTTGCTCTTAATGCGGCTAAGGAAAGAAGTGACAAGATGTGTTTTTGCATTGCAGATATAGTGCAATAATCAGATTGTTGTACATGTCCTCAGGGTGGGAAACCCACTCCCCTCTATAACATTGTGCACAACTTACTCTTTCACTTCCTTGGAGCTGAAATCAAGGTAGCGGTTGCTGATCCACTGGACCTCAAACCAGTCCCTGAAATCATTGTTTCCACAGCACTGAAACTCCATCTGCAGGCGATCGATGTTCTGTTTCTGGTAGCAGCGGCCCGGGGTGTCTGTGTCCTTGTAGAAGCGGATGCCGTTCCTCAGGCCAACTTTCAGGGATGACTCCAGGCTGCCCTTCATCGCATAGCTCATGATGACAGCTAGCAGCATGAGGACAGTGAAGAAGCAGGAGACAGCAAAATAGGGCTTCAGCATTCTCTTCCAGCGAGGAAACCGCTCTGCATCCAAAGCATCCTGGCAGATCTTTGAAGCAAAGTAGTTGATACCCAAGGAGGCCAGGCCAACAATCATGAGGGTGTCGGGCACAACATGTACGTCTGAGTTATCCATTACCTGTAAGTGAGTCACACAATAATGTAATCAGTAAAAACTCTATTTGTTTGCTGTAAGGAAACATACATGAGGACGTTCCTTGTTAAAGTAATGCATAATATTTCAACAACCGTGTGAACATACGCTGCATGTAAATAAAAGTACCTAACAGAAGTAATGTGGCTATTTGCCTGAAATTACCAGAAAATTCACCTGGAAATACATGTTGCACATCAACTGCCAAACTTTATTCAAAAGCTACTGAAGCTATATGTTGCTGATGGTAGGTAAACATCCAGACCTGGTTGCATTTATAGAAGTGTGGGTGTGACTGTCTCTGACTTTACATACTTGAATTTAAATTTAAAGTTCTGTGAGTTTTGAGAACATGCGTGTTGATGAATGCTTGAAGGTTCAGGAGACTTCAATCTTTATTTATAAAGCAGAGATCTCCTAAATGTATGTGTAATGATTTTCATCAGCAGCATTACAGTCGGTCACAGTTTAATCAGAGTTTAATGAGCACTGAGCAGCTCACTTCAAGCCGTTGAGGCTCAGCTGTGTTGCTCAAGGGCAACTACAGTAGTTGTCCTTGTCTCGATGAGTCTAAATTTTGCTGGCAAGATTCACAAGTACACCGTTAAAAAACATGCAAATAGAGCAAATACATAGCAAAAAAGATATGAATTATCTGTCCCTTGTTAAATGTAGTAATATCTAGTAAGGTTATACACCATGAGACTATGTATTGAGAGCAAACGTTTTTGCTAAATTAGCATATTTTACTGGTTTTTGCAGAGGATCTTTGCACAAACCACAAGTCTGGGAATTCTCATATAGGAAAATGAGAAGACAAGAGTTGAATAAACTCGCATAGTTAAGCATTTGTGACCGTTTAGTCGTATGGATAACACTCAAAGTATTGAACAGAATCTGGTGGCTTTTTAACATCTTACATTTGATTGATTTTAGTTCAGTGCAAAATGATGGGATGAGAATCAGTGGGGTGAACTTCAATGCAATATACATCGGGACATTACATGAGAACATTTCTGTGAGCCTCACAGATTCTATAATTTATCGTTTGTGTCTGTAATTTTCTTCTTTCTTTTCCTGTTCATAATACTCACCCTTACAATTTTTACAGCCATGCAAGCAGAATACTGTCATGACCTCGGATGCACAAAATTCTTATAATTGAAGTAAATAATTGTGGTGATTTATTTCAAAAACACTGAGATGGCGTGAACAACATAGCTGTAAATACATAGTTGTGCAAATAGGATGTTTTTGAGGGTGCAAAATATTGAATTATGCAAACTACTTAAATGTGGAAATTCAAATAAGCTAAAAACTATAGAGGTTTGTTGTCAATGCAAAGTTGTTATGACTGCCTTCAGGAGTAGGGATTAGGGTGATTAAGGCTGACAGAGCCTGGTTTATTAAAAGATGAGTCAGGATCCAAAGTGGGTCACAGGTGTATTTGCCTCTTCTTGGTCTCTAAGGACATTTCTTTGACAGTATCAGATTTAATTTATCCTTTTTCTCCCAAAAATATTGTACCAACAGTTTAAAATTAAGACAGGCATAGTTGTCATCTGTCAGGTGTGCATGCTGTTATTCATGTAAATCAGTACATTGGTGTGCAATCAACCTTGTCAACTAACAACTTCCAAAAACGCTGTCCCTCAATGTAGATATTTATTGGACAACTTAGTGTTTAGAGGTTCATGTGTTATCTGTTGGAAACAAGGCATGTTGTTGTTTTCCTCCCAGTAGGCACACAGTTGGTCGACTCCCTTATAGTATACACTATATACAGTATCTATACACTGAGGAACATCATGTCACTCACTTCTGCAATCAAACTATAAGTTACTACACTGTTGATTGTTGCAATGTGTTGATCATTTACAGTACATGTTTAAAAAAAACGTCATAAACTAAAAGCTTTGGAATGAAATGAACTAAGCTTCAGTAAAACTTGAGTACCTCTGCCCTCCTGCGGAGCTCCGTCTTGAGGATGCAGCCCAGGCTGAAGGTGATAGCCCCGGCGACTGTGGCACACCAGGAGAGGAGCCACAGTCCCTGGGCTAGCTTCACCCTTTTCTGAAAGGGGAACTTCATCTTCATCACCACCATGGTTGCAGCGAGGGAATCCAAGTCTTACCGGGGGAATAGGGGAAGGAGAGCGACGAGGTCACGAGGGCCGATGCTGGGCTTTTTCTGCCAGGAGGAAAGAGAGGTCAGAGGCAGGACTCAGAGATGACGATGACAAAACGGAAATTCAACACTGAATTTGAAAAGTAAATCAATGGCAACAAAGCAAGCACAATTAAAAACCCACTGATGATAGTTTTCTGAGAGCAAACTTTGACTCAAGTATTAAACTGAGAGGTTGGTGCAAAATCCTTGGAGAATAAGGTTTTACAGCTTCACAAGTTGCTCATTCCCAATGAAACAGATATTGGTGCATCAAAATTCACCTTATTTGTCTCCCCGAACAGTCCAGAAAAAGTCCAGTTATCTCCACCGACCACTATGTACCATCCAGTGTGCCACACAGTGGATTTGGCACACTGGATTTGGCAAACCTGGATGCTGTGAGCGTCTTAACACTAATGCCTACCTATCCCATTAAATTGGTTTGTGAATCCAGGCCATTGTCTGCTCAGCATCCATCACTCATCACACATGGACGACAAAACTAATTGAACCTGACAGGATATTATGATAAGCCATTAACTGTGAAACACTTGTCCTCAAATGCACACATAAACTGGAGTCAATTTAAGATGAAAATAATGAGCTATGTATTCAGATGAATAAATTCCTATTTATATTTCATCATAATATCTTATTATGTTCTTTATTTCCTGCTTGATTTGTCTGCAGAATTCAAGGATCATTTCAGGCTAAATCTAGACAGCATGATGAGGCTCCTTTTGCCCCCCTGACACTGGTTCAGGACTCACTGTTAAAAGAGTATGCATTTGTGCAGTGCTGAGGCTGCAGAAATCCCGACATCCTAACCAGCTATACAATCTCAATGACATCCTTTAAGGAGAGATGGCCTCACACTTTCCAATCTCTGTCAGTTCTGCCTGCTGAACAGGTGGTGTGTCTAGTCGCATCATCTATATATATATAAATATGTATAAATCAATATATATATATACATATATATATATATGTATATATATATATATATATGTATATACATATATATATATATATGTATATAATCTGTCATTAAAAACAATATTTCTTTGACATAATGACATAAATGTCTAGTTGATGTGACACACTCTTTCGAACAATGTCCCTGGTCATTCACCTCAGTTTCCCAGAACTTTTCCTATGTAACTTATTTTAGAGAGATTCCTCCCTGGATCTATTTCCCTTTTCAAGGAAAGTTGATCAGAAGTAAAACAAATGTAGGCAGTTCAATTTATGTCTTATTGCTTCTTCATTTGGTTTATTAAATGTTACATGGACAGAGTTAAATAGATGAGATTTACACAAGCTTTTGAAATGTGTTCAATCGCAAGTAGGTTCATTAGAGTGAATACATGTTTGGCACAAAGACAATAGTTTTAATATGCACACATTTAAAGCTATTTCATAACTGTATTTATAAGTATACGATAGTTTATATGGGACATGCTAAGACTACATTTTACAACAGGAAAATTGATTAGCAGGAAAACACTGAAAAAAGCTTTTCTTCTCCAATATTTTGGGATGTTTTTTAGATTGTGCTCAACACTTTTTGTATATAGCATTAAGCAATGTAATCAACAATGCTTGGCTACCTACACAATAAATACACTAAATATGACTACACGATGTTATATGCAATAAAGCAAACAGAATACAATGTAAGAACGAGGCAGGAAATGCCTGTATCTGTAGGCTATATATACAACAAAAATAAACATTTACATTTTCCATTAAACGACCAAATCTAAGATGTAGGGGATGTTTGCGATTATGCGATTAAAGTAAACTAGGATTTCAGACACAGTGAACAGTGCACTCATGTTTCTGTCACAGCTTTGTTCGCTCCCCTTTCAACACCTCGTCTGGAATCCCTCCTGTCCTGCTGTGCACCTCGGCCCTGCCATGCCGCTGTCCTTCACTGGCCTGAGATCCACATGTGAATTGACTGAGCATCCGCTCGGCTGACTCCAGGCCGGCCAGGCTGCTATCTGCCTCTGACGTCCTGCTTTCTATCGGCCGGTCGTTGCTTGATCTCCAGTGATGAATGATCTCATTATCTAAATCCTCCATACCTTCGTGCCCTTGGTGGTGGAGGTCCATCATGGCCTCCGTGCCTCGTAGCTCCTTCTGCATGTGATGGCGAGCCAGGGGGATTTCCTCCAGGCTAGCTGACCGGATCAGGATGGCAGAGCCGAGGTTCTGACTTGTGGTGATCCTGTATGTGCCCTCACCTGTCATGCCGTCAGACAGGTTCTTGTTGTGAATGGTGAACTGGAGATGAGGTATCTGCTGAGGGCATGGAGCGTGTCGTCCGACAATTTCCTCACCCCCTGACTCGCTGTCTTTGTCCACGTCCGCTTCCCGGTGTCTCCATACTGGACCTCTGTTTGATCCTGTCAGTATAAATTGTGGGGTCTCATCTCCCTTCTCTGACCAGTCAGATTCCTCCTCCTCTGGAACTGGCCCAAGCGATTGCTCCTGCCCGCCGGCTATGGCCGTTTCGTAGTTATTATGGCCGTCCATGAACTGTGCTGGAGGGGGAGCGATGTGAGGAACCATCTGATTAATGGCATCATCTGACTGAAAATGGAGGTCAGTGTTGTGTGTCACTGATGTAACCTACAGTAAGCAGAGGTTAGAAATTGATCAGTTTATTGATTGAATGACGCAAAGTCAAAGAATAAAGAAAAGGTTTTTGTATGAATAAACAAAAACATACTAATTGCCTTTGAATGCATTTGTGAAGCCACAAAAGTTTGCCTAGACCTTAAGAGGGAAGTAAAGATCTTACACTGGATGTTTCCACACTGTTGGCAAATTTTGCATCAGCGAGCTGCTCTGTCAGTGCTGAAATACGCTGATTCAGCCTCCCACGTTCTCCTTCCAAACTCTGAGCCTGACACAGAAAGTACAATAAGCACAGTTGTCACAGGTCAGCCTTCTGTAAGTGGGGGAATTTACATCAGAATATCCCCTCCCAAGAGTTTTTGAAAACTTTCACTATTCAGTTAGTCTTAGTAACTCAGTAGAAAAAGGTGTTTCTACAATCATTTTCGTGTTTCTGATAATTCAGGCTCACGCACAAGAAACACAGAGATGCTTCCAATCTCACCACTGAATGAAGCTTTTGCTCGAGAAGACTATTAGTCTGTTGTGTGGCGGAGCAGTTGTCGTGTAGTCTGAAATCAGACACAGGCAAAGAGAGAGAAGTTACAATTTATTGCAGTACACAGTACACGCACATTGTACGAGGTTAAATAAGATACCTCACCCTGGACACAAACTGTTCGTGCCCCTTCCATCTGGCAGGAGGCTGTGGTCCATCATGACCAAGACCTCACGCCACATGAACAGTTTTTTCCCGTCTGCAGGTCGGCTCATCAACAAAGCCCGGGACCCCCACTAACTCTGACATCCCCAGGACAATTTCCTTCCGGTACACTCTCCTGCACATCCCTTCTATGTTTCTTTATTTAAATACACCTGACACTTTTACATACACTTACACTATATACTTGATTATAGTACTGGTATCTGTTTGTTTGTGCACTTTATTTGTTGTGCACCACCCGCCATGTCAAATTCCTTGTATGTGCAACACACCGTGGCAAATAAACGGTTCTGATTCTGATTCTGATTCTGATGTGTTAATTGCAGCTATTATCTTAGGTCTGAAACATGAGACGGATAGTTAAAAACAGAGGTGACAATAGATCAGTGCCGAGCCTTGTTCATATTAAGATTCGACTGATTACTCTTTCAGATCTCTTTCTATTTGTGACAAATAACATCTTTTGCCTCAGGAAATATAAAGATGGCTTAAATTGTCTGTGTATGATTATGTATAGTAACAGGAGTCTACCAGAAGAACAAAAAGTGTTGTCTGTGCATTTGTTACCTCCTAAACCTCTCCGTGAGGTTGCTAAGCTCAATACGTGTCCTCTGAAGTTCTGCCTCCAACAGCTTTTGGCTGCTCATGAACTCCTCTCCTAAACACTCCATCTTCACTGCTGTCTTCAGCAAACTTTGATGCAGACCTTCATTCTGCCCCTGTAGGTTCCTATCAGATACAGATACACAACAGAGGAATTCAATTGAGTGAGAAAACGCACATGAGCATAAGAGGAATTCATTTAATATTTCAATTATTTTGGTTGCTCTCATTACTCTCATTTTACACACTAGGTCTAACATTACACGGGTCAGTGTTCTCTAAGATATTCACATCCAGAGTGTGTAACCAATTAATCTGTGTGCAATATCACAGTCATGGTTGTCACTTGGACTATGACCATTGCCAGTTAACAAACCCAAAATAATTAAATCACACTTACATGATTCTACCAAGTTCATGCGCCTTTTCCTGTATGAAAGAAAACAAAATTACTCTGACAAGAAAAATCGGAATATTATCTATGATGCCCAAAGAGTGAAGTGAAAAAATTGACCTGAAAATTGAAAGAAGACTAAAGACCATTACTGGGGAATGTCAATTTGATTAGCATGAGATTGGGCATGATAGCCAATCTATTGTTCTGTAATAACTAATCTAGCGTCCACCGTGACATGCACACTGGTGCCCAAATCAATAGGCAAGCAAATGAGTGGAACATTATTACATAACCAGTTAATCAAGCGTGTATAGCAAGGGCAACTATTGACCTGCCAATAATTACTTTATGAGCAGCTTAACTCAATGAGGAATGCCATACTTTATGCAACGATGAGCCAGTGAAGCTTGTGTGTTCCTCGTCATGACCGGAGGGGCTGCTGGTGTTGCTAGGTGACTCCTTCTTCCTGGAGAGAGAGTCCAGCTTCAGAGGAGGGCCGAGGTCAAGGTCCAGGTCGAGGTCGTTTTTGGAGTGAGGCTGGTTGAGACGTGATTCAGGTTCATGTCCTTGGTGATGACTTTTGCTGTGGTGGTCTCCATGGTGATGCAGGTGAGCTTCGCTGTGCTTGTCTCCATGGTGATGCTTATGGTCTTGACTGTGGTGGCCTCCATGGTGATGCTTATGGTCTGGACTGTGGTGGTCTCCATGGTTATGCTTATGGTCTGGACTATGGTGGTCTCCATGGTGATGCTTATGGTCTGGACTGTGGTGGTCTCCATGGTGATGCTTATGGTCTGGACTGTGGTGGTCTCCATGGTGATGCTTATGGTCTGGACTGTGGTGGCCTCCATGGTGATGCTTATGGTCTTGACTGTGGTGGTTTCCATGGTGATGCTTATGGTCTGGACTGTGGTGGTCTCCATGGTGACGTGGTGTAGTAGGACCTTCAATGTTTGGCTGGTTGCTGTGGTGGCGGTGACCTGAACTGTGATGGTCTCCATGGTGATGTGTTGGGGTGTGGTGGTTGCCATGTTGGTGGTTTTGAGCCTGGCCTTGGTGGTCTCCATGGTGATGGGGAAGAGAAGGTCTATGATGGTTGCCATGGTGTTGATAAAGAGTTGCACTGTGATGATGCTCTTTGTGTTGGTGATGTGGGCTGCAATGGTCTCCATGGTGATGATCTCCATGATGATGGTCTCCATGACGATGGTCTCCATGATGATGATGGTCTCCATGATGATGGTCTACAGAGGGATGGTCTCCATGATGATGGTCTCCATGATGATGGTCTACAGAGGGATGGTCTCCATGATGATGGTCTCCATGGTGATGGTCTCCATGATGATGGTCTCCATGATGATGGTCTACAGAGCGATGGTCTCCATGATGATGATCTCCATGATGATGGTCTCCATGGTGATGGTCTCCAGAGTGATGGCGATGGTGTGTTTCATCATGGTTTTTGTGGTGACGGTCACCATAGTGGGAAGTGGGGCTCTGGTGATCCTTATGATGATGGACAGGACTGTGATGGTCTCCCTGGTGATGGTGGTGGTTGTGCTCATGAGACGGTGAATGGGAGCGATGCTGGGATGACCACGAGTGATGTCTTTTCAAATAGCTAACATCAGTGCAGCTGCTAGGCCCGTGATCCATGCGATGAGGTGAGTCTGTAGAACGGTGACGGTGACGGTGGTGGAGAGATTGAGAGGGAGAAAGAGAAGACGAGTGATTGCTGGTATGGGAGTTCTTGCCGGAGCTAGCTGAGTCTGCACTGGCATGCCGACTTCTCTGCTGTCTGTGTTTCTCTGTGCTGCTTACTCCTTTACTGGATCTAACAGAGACCTGCCCTGTACTGCAGGGACTTTGAGCATTTGTAACCCCAAGAGTGGTGAGTCTCATTGGGCTGAGAACCTGCCGAGTGATCTCATTAAGGAAGGCAGAGAACTTCATTTTTTCCTTTGTTAAATTCTTCCTGGCTCCACCTTTTCTCCTCTCTAGTTCAATTTTATCTTCATTTCCATGCCTTTCTCTTTCTTTGGGTCTAATGAGAGCCTCCATTGATTTGGCTTTGCGGACACCATTATTTCCTGAGCCTTTAATGGTCCTTTGTGTGTTCTTCAGGGTGCCATGAGTGGGGCCATTGCGAGAAGACTTTCCTTTCTCCTGTTTGGCAGTGTGCCTGTTTTGATGACCTCTTTTATCTATCAAAGGGGCTGTGTCGTTGTCTTCATCTTCAAAGTACTTATGTTTCTTGGAAATGTCTGCACAAGACTGTGAATGCCCGGGCTTCTTAAGTGGATGTCTCTCCGAACACTTACTGCTGGTCTCAGAGGACAGCCTCAAGGAGGATGAAGATGTTGAAGAGGAGGAAGAAGAAGAAGAAGAAGAAGAAGAGGAGGATGGAGTTGATGAAGTAGATGAAGAGGAGGAGGAAGGTTTTGATGGAGAAGAAGAAGAGGAGAAGGACGATGAAGAGGAACCAGTTGAGGAACTCAGGGGAGCTTCTGAACGAGAGACATGCCGATGGTTTTGCTTCTGATGGCAATGGCGAGGATGACGAGTCTTGTCATCATCCCACTGACTTTGATCATCGGGTGGATGATCATCGGAAATCCTGTCCTCGGCTCTTGAATGGCTGCTATTTTAGAGAGAAAACCTCAGTGTTAAAGACACACTGAATACAATACTGTAGCTAATGATGATGTTAATTATTTTTGCAATAGCAGGTCAAATGTATAAATCAAAACTCCTATAGTGGATTTAATAAGAAGGAAATAGATCTCTGCCACTTTAATCCTTCTAATGTGAAAACTAACACAAATAAAAAAAATCTGAAGGCTTTAATATCTTATTATACCTAAGCACAGAATCTGTACATGGGGACAGGCAATACACAGTGGAACAAATGTCCAAACTTACTCATTGCTATCGTTGTCATCTGACTGATGTAACTTTTGACGATGACCATGGCCTTGGTTTTGGTGATGGTGCTTCATTTGCTGAGATTTTGAGTTAGCAGTCTTTCTGTGCTTGCGGTCTTTTTCTTGATGGTCGCTCATTTCAGTCTTATGATCTTTGACGTCTCTGGTGTCCGGATGAGGATGGAAAGGTGTGAAATAATTCTGCAGCTGAGAGCCGTCTGCAACTGGCACGATATTAATCCCTGTGGAAATGGTACATAATTCAGTGTGCCGTGACTATCTTTCATACAGAAATAGAAACACGTAAATACTTAGATTTTGATTCATACTATTATTGCTGTAAATTAGGTAAAACATGGTGATCACGTAATATATAATATAATCAAACTATCTAACTCATTTCTCACTTGTACCAAAGTATTAAAACCCCCATGGTAACATGTTCTATGAAGACCAAATCTATAGTCCATTATGAGGGCATTCATAGTGAATAATAGTGCATTTATAAGGTTTCATGACTACTCTCACAAACACACATAATGCTCTCTATCCCACTATATCAACAGTCATAAAACAGTATAGATGTGACTCATAATGAATTAGATGTGCAAGTGTCTCATGGATTCTTGACTGAATGGGTTTACAATACATTATGGCTACCTAAACTCACCTATACACACCTCAACAATCAACTGTAGTAAGCACTCATAGTATGCTATAATGGAAAATAAATCATGCAGTATCATAAGTTATCATTGCATGTGTTAAGTAAAGTTAAGCACATAATGATGCATCTGTTATAATGCATGAATTATCATAACGTTTCATTGTTGGTGGTAAGAAAAGAGTAAGAGTAAAATAATCTGCATCATAAGTGATGATTTCTATAATTACTTTGAATAAATCATATCGGTTTTACACCTTGAGGTTCCATTTCTAAAGCAGACCCATTGTATGCAGCATAGATTCTTATAAATGCATGAACCCCAACGGGGCTAAGTGGACAGCAGGGCCGTCCTTCAATCAGAGGATTGGCGGTTCGATCCCCGGCTCAGGCTCCGCTAGCCGCATGTCGATGTGTCCTTGAGCAAGACACTTAACCCCAAAATTGCTCCCGTAGCTGTGATAGAATCTGAATTGTAAGTCGCTTTGGATAAAAGCGTCTGCTAAATGACTGTAATGTAATGTAATGTAACCCTATACAATGAAAGGTTATGATAAAGCATGCGTTATTATAGATGCATCAATATTTACTTTACTTTTCTCAACACAGTGATAACTACCCAAACTTTTGAATGTTGAGGTGTGTATAGGTTGGTTTAGGTGGTCATAATGTATTATAAGCCCATCAGTCAACCTCTAGTTGCAGCATCCATTAGACAATTGCACTTATCATTTATTATAAGACACATCTATAATGTTTTATGACTGTTGATCAGATATAACATATCAGAAGTGTATTTTTGAGTTCAGTCGTGACGCATTATAAATGCATTATAACTTACTATGAATTTACTATGAATGAACCCACTATAGATGTGGTCGTCATAGAAAGTGTTGCCAAAATATTTTTTCTTGTGAAAGCTAATTAAGTCAGCACTACATGCAGTGATAAAGCAAATGTGAAAGGTAATCACATGCAGACTTTTGTGCAAAATGCAGCTCACAAGCAGTGCTATGAAACATTTCATTCCAAAACAAGTTCTAAGTTTCTAAAGCAAGATAAGTCTAGTTCAGAAAGCAGCAGCTACAGAGAGGCTAATTCAGATATTTTATCATGCCAACGTCTGTACTTACGTCCTCAAAGAAGCCTCGGGAATGAGACAGGCAGTGGTGTTCATTGAAATAACAATACCTCTCTCTCAGTGATGCACCATCTAATTGAACTGGGAGGCCCATGTGAAGACCACACACACGGACACATCAATATATAGTCCTGTGCCATCCAATGACAGAGGGGACAGTTGTTGCACGTAGCTACAGTGAACTGTATCGAACTGCGCTGTATACTGTGCTGTACATGACGGCTTATGCGAGTACGTCAAAGATACCCGCATGAATGAGTAACATGCAGTACTGTACATGTATAGTATAACTCCAAATACAACAATCAGATGATCAACACACACTATACATTTGTATAAACTATACATATAAACATTAGTGTATTCACATTCACACTCTATTTCATGGATTTTTAGACAATGGTAGATGAAAGATATCAAAGCGATGCCAAATATTTCATCAAATCCACTCAGGAATATTTTAGCTTTTTGTTTAATAAACCACTCAAACTGCCAAGCAGAATGTAATAAAACATGATGTTTACAGTTTGGCTTTCCAGAGAATCTCAGCATATCTCAATTAAATTTTAATATTTTAGATGTTCTGAACACATAATGATATATGGACTTCTAAATATATAGACTCTGAGTGACTGTACCAGCCACAAAACGCTGGCCTCAAGCACTCATTCCTCAGCTTGTACAGGGGTCCCTTTAGCGCGCTACATCCAAAGTAGCAAAACTCCTCTGTTGAAGTGAGCCTGTATACCCTGAGGCATGACAGTGGGTGGGTGTCAGACGTCACCTCCTCTTGTGTTACATAAGTTTTAAGTATTCACAGAATACTTGTCAGAATATGAAAGTGCTTGCTTTGTTCATGTGAAAATATTCTTGGGAAAAAGGCTGAGCTAAGAGCCAAAACACTTTGGAGTACAACAATTCACCACAAAGATATTTTTTTTCCACTTATGATTGTCATCATGAGAACAGGGCAGAAGAACTGTGCTGCCTACAGTATGCACGTAACTACAGAGTGTCAGGTTATCGATCAGGATGTCCCTATTATGTCAGTGCAATGGGCAATCTAATAACTCAGAGTTCAGAAACACATTGAACTCCAATAGAGTGACAAGGGCAAAAGGCATGTGACGTTATATTAGACCACTCACAGTTTAAACCGCTTTCTTAATGTCAAGACATGTATCAGACAAGAGTAACCACAGAGTTGTGCCGTGTACAAGTGCCAGATCTGTCATCCTCGTTGTAATTTTGCAGAACGTGTCGTCATTGCCGCTGGCAGGTTTCCCAGCATCAATGCAATAAGGCTCAGACAGATGCACCGAGAATCAATGGCAAACCCACACTGCTGTGACTGTTTGGCAAACGCAATGGAAAGTTGGATGAGGCGACTAACTTTCACACGTAAACACGTGACGTATTGCGAGTATGTATAACACAGATGTATGAGGATTCCCAAGGACAGCATGTGACAAAGTTACATCATACAGGATGTCCAGTAATGCACATTACTGTCATACGTCCAGTTAAATAACTTCATATTTGTGAGGAGGAAATACTGTATGACCTTTGCATGCACTTGTCATATAAATATAATATTGATATATCGCCTAACTATCAAACCATATCCAATTTCCTGTTTCGAAAAATGATTGGGCATGTGATATGTTTGTGTGTAATTCATGTGGGGATACAACAATGACATGCACAAATCTTTCAATGAAGTTTGTTGTTTGCACAAAAAATACACTTTTGCTATCTTATCTTCCCCTTTGCGTTCTGAAGTTCACCACTGCATCATTTGACAACGTTGGCAATCCGAACACTTAACATATTTCCCAAAACACACATTTTGATGGAGTTTGAAGTGCAGGTTGGGCTCACAAAACAAACATGAACTTGATAAAAATGCATCATTATGAAGCTTATCCCACCAGGTGATGATGCATGTAAGATACTCTAAGGTGGTTGTAGCTCAGTGCATCAGAAATAAATCTTTACTTTCACCTGCCACCGGTCGAAATAAGGTACAAACTGGATTAGCGTTGAAAGTAAACTTTGAATTATTTGAAGACAGATGTATGAGCACTGACATACTATAAAAGTGAGCGTCTACTTGCTGTGAGCAGCAGATAGATGCTACCACACACCACCATGTTTATTTGAGCTACTGCACTTATAATGGTTTATGACAGAACATTATTCATTCTCATTGAAAATGCAAAACAACTGACTTATCAGCAATTCTTCAGTCTATGTTGCCTATGCACAGCAGTAGGTAATGGCCATGTTTCATGGACTTGGAAAAAATGTTTCAACACTGACATTCTGTAGTATTCCCATTTAATAGACAGAACAAAAAAACTTCAGGAAAATGTACATACAGTATGTATCGCAAATCTAAAAGCAATGCACTCAATTTCAGGAGTAATGCAGACACCCATAAATAGTTATGTATTCATTTTCTGTGATTCCAGTTGTGAGGGCCACATCTTCTGTAAGGGAGAAAACACTCAACGGCCGCTCAAATCAAATCAGCGAGTGGAGTCAGTCTATAAACGTGTCAACGTTACCGAACGTTTGGCTGTGGGTCACATACATTCAGCTAACGATGTTCTGTCCACATCAGAAGCGATTATTTAGTTTCTACTGAACTTTAAAAAAAAAAAAATCAACTTACAAAGATCACTGATAACAGAGTTGGATTTGTGAATATAAATACTACCCCTCTTCAGCATTAGCTGTTCAGAGCAACAATAACCGGATCCTGCTTCTATATGCACCTGGTATTGGTCACCCTTGCCGTTTGCGGGTTGCTTTGCTTGGATCACAGGAAACGTTGTGAATGTAGTGAGATGTGTTATGGTCTGTGAAGGGCCGTGGCATGTTCCTACTGCGTAGAGATTGCATCCATTCTTAAACAAAATGTACGGTGTCTCTTTTCCACTCAAGTTTAGTAAATGCCTCCCTCTGCTGGGCTAACCACGTATTAGAAAGTCCCATTTCAGCTCGTTCTACACAGGCTTACATTGTGTAACACAGAAGGTAAAGAAGGAATCAATGCTTATCAGTTTTTCCCCACACGAATGTGGGGGTTAAGAAGAGGATCTAAATTTGGGTCGGAGCCAGCGGAGGCACGTCCAAGTTTAGCCATGATGATTATCAACGTGAAGAATCCCAGAGCCCCTACCACGAGGATCATGAAGACCCGCTGTTTCCAGGACAGAGATGTCCGCTTTCCACCTGTGCGATTTCTGAAAGGACAACAAAAATGCCAAAAATTAGGGATCACAGTGACCTTTGCATAGTGATTTGTTCAAAGTGCAAAGCAGTAACAGGGCATTCCACAGCAGATCATGATACTAACTTTAGAATTTGAGCAAACCAACTTAACGCTGGCCGTCGTCGGTACTTGTCATCGTCAAAGTCAATCTGTGTGACAGAGCTGTGATCTATGGCCCGCGTGTCATAGATCTTTCTTGGCGACGATGCTGGAGAATAACAACGAGTTATTAGGATGGAAGGCAACACGGAATGTTGAATGTTCACTGTGTTCCACTATCATTTGAAACTTTTAGGGCTTTAAGAGTAGGAAGAGAGCGATTCAGAGGGCTTTCCATTGCTTTACCTGTGTGTAGTGTAATTGTGTCACGGGTAGAGTCATTAGGGAAGTTGACCGCAGAGTGCTCCTGCATATTTGGGTCCCCATTTTTACGAGGACCTCCGAGGTCTTCCTGTGCCGGGGGTGGGACAGGATTTGTTGGTGGGTTGAGGCTGGTGTTGTAAGAGTGGCTGGGGTAAATGTTACTTTGTTCTTGTGCTGTGGAAAGTTAAAAAAAAAAAAAAAAAAAAAAAAAAAAGAGTTTGATTAAACCACTTAAATGATACTGTGTAATTAACAGCTACAAAGCATGTTGCAATTTACTAAACAGTAAACACTAAGGCTCACCATCAAATGTTGACCAGTCAGTATAATCAGTGACATCATTAGTTGTGGTCTCCTCAAGGACCCCAACGGGCTCTTCAATCTGTCAGTCGAACATGACATTTTATTAATATCTTACAAAAACAGAGTTCTAAATGCGAGTTGTTTTCTGGAAGACTATCTAATGGTTTAGAGATCATAATGTAACAATAATAGGCCCTTACCAGCGGCAGCCCTAAACCTGCTCTAGCCCAGTTAACAGATGACAGCTGTTCTTTCAGCACATCAGCAATTGGGCTGGCAAGGTTGGAAGGGGGAAACACTGGACTCTGACAGGTGGGACACTGGTATCCAGCTGGCGCCGTATGGAGGGGCAGCCGAGAGGCCAAGTTATTAAGACAGGACCAGTGAAACACATCTGTGGAAGGGGAAAAAAAAAAAAAACAGCTTCACGCCACAGCAACAATGGTGGGATGCCATTTCTTTTTATTTATTTTTAAATCAAAAATTCCATTCATCTCCATTGTTTATCATTTCTAGACACAACTAACAATAAGTGGAAAAATATGTTTATTGTAATGCTGTCGAACTTCCTTTAAAAACCAGTGGATTTGCTTAACACATGCGAGCATGTATTCCCAATAAGTTAAACAGAAGGATGATAATCTTACCGTAGCAGACCAGCCTAACAGTGTCTTGAGCATTCAATGGACTATTACACAGAGTACAGTTGGGGTTGTAATCGCTGTCCTGGAGCCATTGCAAATATGACTGCACGATGCACTGTGGGGCACCAAGTGGAAATACAGATCTGTAATGTGCTGTTACAAGTTCTTATACAAACATAAATTGCGTGATACTTATTCACTCACTGACCTTGTTGTGGTTGGAGACCAGGCAATGCTCGCACACATTTACACGATGTTCAAAGCAGAACAAATTGGTCACCTTTCTCTTCGGACACTTGCAGAGACCCATAGCCACATTCGCTGTGTTGCGTTAAAACAGAAACAAATGCAGGTTTGTTATGAATGTAAACAACAAAAATACGTCAGACTGAGGATCCTTATTGTCATGATTCTGTAAATTACAGTCCGTCCTCATGTTTATGTATGAGTAGCCAGATGAGAAGCCAGAAGCAAGAAGAGGCTGTCTTCATTTACTAGCAAAAGCAAAGTATATTAAATGGTTTCCACTGAAATGATGTATCCTGTGGCTAATGTTGTCTTTAATACAGACTAGAAACAAAACATAACTTCATCTCTTCCCTTTTCCCTGAGTAACAGCCTGACATTTCCCCAGACACTGTCGTGAGAAGAGTTTGAACATCAGTGAGTTGTATGATGTGTGTAACTCTTCTGTCAAACCAGTTATGTTAATGCTTAGAATACATATTCACTATGTGTGTGTGTGTGTATATATATATATATATATATATATATATACACACACACATAAATACATACACATAACGTCTGTTGGTGTGAATGTGCGAATGTTGTGGTTTTTGCGAAGTTGACATAAGTTATCGTATCGTAACGTTACACATCTCGGGAGGTCCAGACTCCGTTTTTCTGCTCTAACGTCATGTTTCAACACCGACTAACACGTCTGGTCAGTGATGACACCTCTAGGAAGCTCATTCAAAAAACATGTATCCAAGCTAACATTAGCTGCTACCCTAGCAGGAAGTTATCAGGTGAAGTAACGTTAGCGAGCTAATCTAGCTAGCTGTTAGATTTGAGGAAGTTCCAACGCAAATGATTAATAGCAACGTGTTACCTGTCACACCGACTTTAATCAAGTACCGTTCGCTTCAGGTAAAGGTGTACGACTTTCATTTACGCTTCCTTGTCAAATTCACGCGGAAGGCGTCTCCAGAAGCTGTCATCAGTAAACTTAAGTGCAGCTAGCTGGTTCCTTCCTCTCTCTGTTTATGTGCCACGTCTCTTCCGCTTCCGTTTCTTCTTCGTGTATTTCTGTGAGAGACCAACAGGCGCAATCTACCATCTGCTGACCCGGAGTGCATATTTCTCCAGATTCCTTTTTAAAAATGTTGTTTTTTCAATTAGGTAATCATCAGTATGATTGTTATACAACTATAAAATGTAACTCTGTTTGACACGCGGTCTAGTTACATGTACAATGTAGGCACGTTTGTTTATCATTGTCAAACCGCCATTTTGTTTTTTTCTTCTTCTCTTGATGACTGCATGTTCTTAATCAGTACTGCACTGGAGGAGGCTCTGCTTTATTTTACATGCACAGGTGCTTATAGCATCCGAACTGACATACACTGACACTGTGAATTATATGAATGAAGGTAATTTTTGTGACCTTGTATATTTTGTGCTCTAGTTTCTCACAGTCTTCTGTCTGAGAGATTTATGACAGACAGGTAGCCTGTTTACCAGGAATTATTCATTATCAACACCATGTGTCTCTCTGTAGATTCTCACGACTCTAGTGGACGCTATGATTTATACACATTTAAATGTGCACAAAAACAGGGTTAATATCATTTAAATGTGGAGGAGAGCAATCAATGTGATGAAACTGTCTCATACTTTTTAGTTTTTCATTCACATTCAGTTTTTCATTTTTTTTCTTGCTGCTTGTGTTGTTGTTCTCTTGCCTTTTTATACTTGGCAGGTTTGTGTCAGATTGCAGTTAGTGTGTTTAGACACCAGATGGTGTACAAACTGACAGCCAATAAAGTATTGGCTGTTACCAAAAGTACACAGAATGTTGGGTTAAATTATTCACCAATCAGCACTGTCTGTGTAGATCAAGATATTAACCTTTCATCAGCAGAACAGAGTACAACATGTCGTTATTACAGATACTATGTAAATGATTGGTCATCTTTGTGTATGTGTGGATCTTCTAAACAAATAATCAATGATTGCAGGGGCTTATGATCATAAGCCTGCGCCTTATGGCAAGGACTTAATTAAAAGTAGTGAAAGACAAGAGAAGAACAGATTTATGAAGAAGCAGTGTAGTTTTTCTTGCTATTATAGGCAGCAGATCACTTCGACGATTTAATTGCTGCAAAATGTGTCTTCATTAGATCTGATGGTGTTGTCTTAATGAGCACATTTCGAGTTGGTCTGGCGGAGACTGTCTTCCAAATGTCATAAAAGTAAATCAAAATGGACGTAAAAAGATAATAAAAGACTGCAAATGTAGGCAATGACGTGTCATTAAAAAAAATGAGGCCATCATTGATACATCAACAGTGTTCAGAGCTTTAAAGTTCAGACAGTGTAAATTCTCAATCCAGCTAAAACAAGCATTTAAAACAAAATGTGTGCATCGATTTATGCACAACGCTGCCCTTTCATGCATGATGGAGACTTTTTGTCTTTACAGTATCCATGTTGTGTGTCTAAATGGCCATGCATGTATTTGAGAATGAGTGTACTTTTTGTTTTTTTGTCCCTTCACAGTTCACTGCACATGTGAATTGCCTGTAGGGGGAAGCGATGGAAATAAAATGGGAAAATGAAAAAGCCAAAGAAAAACAGTCACAATCCCAGAAGTGCAAAGGAAGGAGGCAGAGATTTTCTGTACTGTACATCTTACAAGGCACAAATGATGCTGCATTAAATAAAAAGATTGTTTGATGGAGCATTGAGTGAAAAATCCTTCTTAAAATGTTTGCATGGCAGTAAAATAGAACTACATTTGCAAATGAATTAACTTGCTTTGTCACAATCAGGCTTTTGCCTTATGTGTTCTGCGTGTGTTTTTCAGTAGCTCCTCACTCTTCAACTCAGTCACTCCCTCAGCACCAGTCCAAACTCCCTTCACCTGTCCCTTATCTGTAATCAAGCACTCCCTCATCAGCACAACTCTCCTCACCTGTTCTAGTCACTATTCAAACCCCTGTCTTTCACTCATTCACTGCCAGGTCATTGTTTTTTCCCTATTTACCCGCCCGTGTTGCTCGCCCTGTTCCCGGTTTTCCCAGTCTGCCTGTTCCGTCTTGTCCTTGGATTCCCTGTTTGTTTTTTGGTTTGTGCATTAAACCTTTTTTCCACTTCACCTGACTGTCTGCTCCTGAGTCCTCATTATGTCCCGTGACATGCTTTTATTCTTTTAATAAAGTTAAATTCAACAATTAAGTAGATTCAATCAGTGCGGGAGCAAATCAGTCTCATCCACCCCTTTTACAAGACATTTCTGTAATGGCAACTCTTGCAGCATGCTTTAACAACTCTGGATTCGTGTGCAAATTCTTTAACTTCTTTGAATAAAAAAATGACTATGAGATTAAATGACTTTGTGCTAATGAGCATGAACTTGTAGTGTCCTCAGTGATGACCAGACACACATATAAATCACTGACAGGGGGTAAGGACACGAGGAAAGGGCATTTGAAAAGCACTGAAGCTATCAGATGGAAGGGAAATCTAAAGACAAATGACAGAGGCACCGGAGGACAAGTCAGCCCTGGAGCTGAGGCAGCTGGGTCTGAAGAGACTGAAGAGGGTTGTCGGGTTGGGCGGGGGGGAGGGGGGGTGGGCATTGATTGATTGAGTCTGGCAACTATTGATCAGCTATCAGCTCTATCTGTGAAGGAAAGCGTAAAGATTCAGGCATGGCTTGTTTAATGAATCCGTTCCCTGATGTTACTGTGAAAGGGATTGGTCATAAATCAGATGGGTGCTGAAAATCCAAATGGTCCCTGGTGGCTGTTGCCTTCTGGAATTATAACATTTTTATGTGTCATACCTTTTAAATATGTTGCATTTACAAAAATGAAAAAGAAGATGGTAAGAACTATAAACATTGCATCTACAACTGTTTCATTCAGTTTAGTTTGTCAGAGTGTGCATTGAGGATTCAGGACTGTCTCAAAAGACAGTGAGAAAAACATTTTCTATAAATTGTGTCAGCTCGTGTTTACAAATGTAAATTTAAATACAAGCTGGCATAGGATTTGTTCAATACTGAGGTTTAAGTTAGATTTGTTTAATCATAAAATAACAATTGTTTCCAAACCTTGTATTACTGCTGTAAGTAAATGTCATGCATAAACACGATGTTGAGGAATGAATATTTGATAAATGATAGCATTGAATATAGAAGAAAATAAACTGGTCACCCAATATCAGACTTATCTGGGGTGCTGGAGCTGTAGACTATCTAACTGAATGAAAAAAATAGGCATCCGCACACTCAAATCTGTGCAAAAATATTTTATATAAGCTAGCTATCGAGACCTTCTTCAAGGCAAGGACATTCAAATATTAAAAAGTGCACAGATCATGTTTTTCAATGAATTTTCAAATTCAAAACATAGCGGCACACACCATCAGTTTAAAGACGACCTTTATGAGACCAGACCAAATCATGGATGTACTAAAAATGAATATAATCCTTCCATTTGTTTTATAGATGGTCATGAAATTCAAGGTGGTCATTTCACAACTTTGTTTCTGGAGATAGATCTCAAGGTGATGTTAATCACATGTTTTTGTGACAAATTATCACCTTAAACTGTGTACCAATTTCAAGGCTTCGGATTTGAGCTTATGCGCATCTATTTCTTAAAATGCAAAAGAATTGTGGAGTCACCACATTTGAATGAGCTGAATCCATTTAAGTGTCAAAGTAATAAAAAAGTCATTCATTGTTCGGTCCGGGTAAAGTCCTGTTGTGTTAATGTAACACACAAGTGAAAACAATCAGCATTTAACTGAGGAAAAATCAGAAAAAAAAAACACAATCCATCTATTTTGTAGAAATGTGTTTTATTTGTGTCCCATAATCGTCTGGAGTACCTGAAACAATCTAGCGCCCCTCTGGGGGTCCCTGTCTCCAGGATGAAAATGACTGTGTTTACCCCATTTCACAGTGAGCTTGAGCCATGAAATGCTTCTCTCTCTGGTTGCTGTGTATTTGTTTGTGCGTGTTTCGTTGTTCCTCTTGTGCGTATGTGCGTGAAAACCGAAAATGAAGCAAAATCAAATCCATGGTCATAACCACATCGTTTAATTTCTAATGTAATGACACTGTGGATATTGTTACTTTATGGGGACGGGGGCTCAGAGGCAAATCCATCAGGCTTTGCTTTGAATGAAATTGGATTGAGTGATTGATTAATGTATGTCAAGTGAAGGGCAAAGAGACGGACAAAAAGAAACCGCAGAGTGTTTGAGCGGGTCAGGGGAGGGGAGTCGCAGATCTATGGATGAAGCATGGCCCCCTGATGGGGGAAGGAGAGCATTGAATCAGACAGAGATAAATGGAGTGTGAGAGACAGCGAGAAAGAAATTCAGACATATGCCTGCTGACCTCAACCCTTTTTCCCCCCAAATAATCAATACAGGGAAATGTATGTGTGTGTGTGTGTGTGTGTGTGTAGGTGTGTGTAGGTGTGTGTGTGTGTGTGTGTTGGTGTACGTACTTGTTTAGAGGGAGGGAGGTTCTGCCTGTGTCGCCCCCAATAAAGATCAGCAACACGGTGACATTACCTCGGCCCTGTCCGACTCCTCCCTGGCCCTCCAACCTTTGCACATGCCTCTATTTAATTTTGGACCCTGTAATCTTGTAAAGGACTGAGAGGTCTGGAGCACTTAGACTGTGCTGGTCACTGAGCTCGGCGAGGGAAGCGGGAGATAAAACATCACTGCTGCACAAAGGACACATGCGTCCTCAAGTCGTGCATATAATGCATGCATATGTGAAGAGCGTTTGTGTGTCTGCTTACCTTGTGTCTCATTTGGCTTAATGAACAGAAAGAGCTGCACTTTTCACACAAAATAATAAAAAGCAAAGAATAAAATACGAATGATTGAATATTAGGTGGCTTTTGTGTGACTGCCAGACTCTCTCCCACTCACTCGCTTATAAACACACACAGACACATTTGCTGAAAGAGAAAAGACACAGGCGTTTTCTAAAGAATAATTTCTAAGAAAGATGCC